AAAATAATTTCTTCAATGTTCTATACATATTGAAACTGTAAAACATTTCATTTCTTAATATACATTAATTATGATTTGGTTAACTAGCTAGTGACTTATTAGAATAGATTAAAAATTACAGCAAAATGAGTAAAGAACCACTTTAAAAAGTCTACTTGCTTCTCTTTGTGGCTCTGTATCTCAGCAGAATTCCTGTATCAGGTCTGGTATCTGCTTCTCTTTTATAAATAATATGAGCCTTTACAGTGAGTTTGTTAGCTAATATCATATTACATTTGATCACCTATAAAAGGCAGCTGCATTTTGCAGTTCTTGTACATGACTATAGATTTAAATACTTGTGAACTTTAGGTCATTGAGATACTGAGAAGCAACAACTTACCCAAAGTTTCACTGTAAAACTGACTCCATTTCTTCTCGTTAAATGTCTCGAACCAAAAGTCAAAATATAGCATACACATCATATTTTTTACCCTCTCCATGAATGTCATTTGACCACCTAGTCCTGACAAAATCATAGGTACATAAGAGGGAGGGACTGAAAATTTCCCACTGTACTTTTCCATTGTATATCCAGGAGAGAAGCGAAGACTGTACAGAAAAGGGATCTGGAGAAGTTCAGCTATCAACTCCCCACAGGGAGCAATGGCATCTGAGAAAAGGACATCAAACTTGGATCTCTGTAGTTTTGTCATGAGTTGTTTGTTTGAAACTGTGTCTCTGCAAAGCCTCAGATAGCTATCAGAGTATTCATTAAGCACGTTTTGTAGCAGAGGAGAGAAGGATAAACACAATTCTCTTGGTATCTCATAAGTCCACACATCCACAAGCATTGTGAAAACCTTGTCCAGATCATCTTTACTGATAGACGTAGAATAACTCTCAAACTTCAGAGCAGGTGATTTTTGGGGATCAAGAAAAATAGAAGCTGAAGGTCTCAGAACTGTTACTTCATGACCCCTCTGTACAAGTTCATCCAGTATTGTCTTTAGATTCATCCAGTGACTGTATTCCATTGGCCATACCAACACCTTTCCACAGCTCCCAGATCTGAAGTAGCAACTCATCTGCAGGAGCAGCAGAACAGACATCCACTTCACAGTCATCTTGGGTCATCAAGTCTTCTGTTCACAGTGTGTCCCGTGTCATCGCTTATCCTTATATCTAACAAGAAAAAGCCTTAAGTTAAAATATAACTGGAGTTGATCAAGGCAGATGCACTAAATGACCACCCTGAACTTCTGATCTAATGGAGATAGTAAAAACAAATATTAAATATTCATATTTGCATGTCAATGTTTAATGACAAACGTTTTGTAATAAAGCAAATTCAAGAGTCCATGACCTGTTTGCACAACTGTTCTATTTCTAAGATATTTGAATAGTAGCAAGAACATTGGTTAGCAAGAGGTTAGTCAGAATTTTCTTTGCAACAAAGAAGCCAATATAAGTACTTGCATAGCTTATAAATATTTTTTAATATCATTTAAGGAAAATTTCTAAAGAATGTTGATAAACATATTCACATGCATTTAATTTTTTAAATAGCTTAGTAGTGCACCTAACAAAGTCTACTGACAGAAGCCCTGGGAAGCAGATAGACAAGAGCCTCCTCCTACACATGTCCCTAGGAAAATGGAAGACTAGCAATTGAGTTGTTAAGACTCATAGTTGACTGAGTAAGCTGAGTGATATTATTTGCTAAGGCACCCTGTTGGTTCATCTTAATTGTCCACAGACTTTTCATAAGCTCAGGAAGTAGTTGAATAGCTTGTTATCAGAATCTAGTCCACAAAGGCTCTAAAAAGTAGATGAGTACATGCATCTATATTCCCTGCTCTCAAGAAAGCACTATGACCACCATTCCTGAGGTCATCCATATCTGTAAGATTGCACATGCAGATTCTGGAAACTGACATGTGACTATAGTTTTTGGATGACCTAGGATCAGAAGAACAACAGAAAATATACTAATTAGAGATCTTAAATATAGGTATAAATCTGTAATCAAGCGATGAAAGCATCAGGGTATTTTAAATATTAAATTGAATTATTTAAATTGATTTAAAGCCTCCCAGCAAGAATCATCCAAGACCAAAGTAGTGTAACTGAGAGAGCTGCACCTTTTTTTTTTCATTTAAAGGTGATTCTAGGATTTACAGGAGAATTATTTGAGTGGTGGATGAATGACAGATATGGCCTGTCATGACACTGGAACAATGAGAAGGGGTTTTCAATTGAACACATAGAGTACATTGTGGATGGAAGAAACTGAATGTTTAAAATATCATATGTTTGTTTTAATTATCAAGTTAAAGTTAGTTTTTCATGTGCATATATTATATATAATATATAATAGTATATACGTATAGTTATAGTTATTCTGGCAAGCGACTATGATACCCTGACCCCTGTTCCCCAATGAAACATTAGTGGTCTCCTGTAGTCTGGCATAAGACAGAAAAAACATGATCTGACTTCTCAAAGGATGAGTCCCAAACTTCTTATCCATTTCCAAGAGATCTACCCCACAAATGTTTGTATGTGAGCCACACTCAATAGACTTGAACATTGTATTATTTATTTTTCAGTATACATATGTGTGATGACAGCAATTGAAGAAAGACCTTCGTGCCAATAGAGTAAACTACCTCTTTTATAGTCTAAGCTACAAAACTCTGAGATACCAAGTGAGGAGCAAATTAACTCATAGACGGAAAGCAGGGCAATGTTGAGTTTTTCTGTAAATGTCATGGAAGCCAAACCTTCACAATACTGAGGAATGGTTCTCTGCTTAAGTTAGAATATTGTTGAAAAATATTTACATAATACATGTTAGGTTTACATTATCTTCATCCTGTTTCCAAAATGTGTACATTTACTTTCATACTATGTATGGTATATGTCTCCTCAGGATGTGTTAAAATTCTCATTATCATTGAGCTAGAGGAATTTGCAATTTCTTCAACTATAAGATAATTACTAGTTTCAGTAAATCATTATACTTAGAATGCAAATGTCCCCCTGCAGGCTCACTGGTAAATTCTTTGACGGCTGGTCATGGCACCTTTTGGAAACTTTAAGAAGTGTAGCCTACTTGACCACATCAAATATTTGTTTTCTTGTGTTTGGGTCATTCTCTACCAAGTCTCTCAAAAGGCAATTAGCTGACTTGTGTATTCTTCTATACATCTAACATGTTTTGATACTTGATTAGCTTGTTATCAGAATCTCAGAGTCTCACAAAGACATGGAGAAGTTTTAAATGATTGTGTGTGTGTGTGTGTATAAAACATTCACTCCTGGAAGCAGTATATCTGCCATTCCCGAGAGTGTCAACTCCTACGAATGTATCCATGCAGCCCTTGGATACTGACACATATTCTACCTCAGACTCTTGATGTGGTCCAGCAATCCCATAAGCTTTCAGCTTGGCATCCTATCTATTATATTGCTTTCATGAATAAAACTTCCTGGACTCAAAATGGTGACCCCATGCTATATAACCTGTAGAAAATGACAATTCTCACATATCCAGAACTGGTTATGCCTTGAGAAGACTAGTAGTGTTAGAAAGCTGAATAGTAGCTTACAATAGAAGTGCACAACCCATTCATCGTAGGACAGAGAAAGAGAAACATTTACCAATGTCAATACTTATTGCAGCTGAATATGATATACAGATACTTCTAAAACACTACCATAGAATGATGGTCATACAGGTACCTAAACACAGTACGAGACAATATTGAGAAGTCTCTATTATTTAAAAATAAGATCCACTCATTACTTACTTGTGTCATCATTAGGTTAATCTGACAAAAAAGGAAGTTATAGGAGGAATGGTTTTTGTTGGAGCATATTTTGAGCTTTTGGTGCCCAGCATGTCATTAAATCCATAAAAATGTTAATGGTGATAAGAGCCTTAACAGCTATTCCTTTTATATTGTGAAATTAAAAGGTGAATATTCTTTGGAAATGCCTGTGCAAGTAAACACTTCCTCTTCTAAGTTGACTTTTTGTAGGCTATTTGGTTATGATAATGAGAATAGTAGCCAATACAGGAAATTAATGATAATAAATGAGCTCATTACCTTAAAAGCTTTGCTTTAAGGTACATAGGTCTTTGTCTAATGATTTTTTTTAAGAAATATGGAAAATCTGGACATATGAAAATGGAAGAATCTAGAATTCTGTTAGCAAATTCTGTGGGACATTTAGATTGGAGTCCAAAAGACCAGAAATTGAAAAAACAAAGTGTGAAGAGTCAAGGCTAGGTTCATGGAATTTTGGTAGATGATAATGATTTTATCAGGGTCTGTGTTAGTGGCCTTTATGTTCTATTCTTGTGAAGAATCTGATTGTGTTCTGAGAACTTGAGTAATACTAAATTAAAAAGAAATGAAATATGTTGTTTTGTACAAGAAATTTAGAGAATGTTTCACATCTGACCTACTTTTAAAGGCAAATATGATATCTCACTTTGAAATCTTATTTGTTTGAATGGTACACAATGTCAGTGAACACAAAGAATGTGGTAGTTCCAAGGAACAGAGACACTCCTGCCATACATATTTTGTAAGGGAGAAGTGGTGTAGGGGAATTGTCTGTATTCTGTCAATCATGTTTTAAATAAATGCTGATTGGCCAGGCAGGAAATATAGGTGGGAAACCAGACAGGAAGTAGAAATGATGTAATGAGAACAGGAGAATTCTGGGTAGGAGGAAGTTGATTCTTCCCAACCCTGCCCAAACCACCAAAGCAGCAGGATGTGATCTGCCCCACTGAAAAAAGGTATGAAGGCGTAAGTCACAAACAATCTCACACCAGTTTGGAATTATGATTAATAGAATGGTTATTTATTTAAAGGGGAAAATTTACAGATCACCGTCCCAGACAACAGCACCTTGCACAGTCAAGAAAGGCGCCTAGTCACCGGAAGTGGAGCCAGAAGCCAGAGAGAGAGGAGTGGGAAGTGGCTGCTTTTTTAAAGGGAGAGAGACCACACCCCAGTGGGCTGGTATCTCAGTGCAGTGGGCTGGTATCTCAGTGGCTACTGGCTGAAGGAGTGGAAGGAGCTCCCGCAACAAAGGTACTGAGCCACATGGCTAACAGATCAGAAAAGTGGGTTAATCAAGATGTGAAAGTTAGCCAGTGAGAGGCTAGAGCTAATGGGCCAATCAGCCTATAATTTATGGAGACCTATGTGTGATTTTTCTTTGGGGCTAAACAGTTGTGGGGTACTGGGCGGGACAAAAACCCCTACTACAACCAGGCCTGGCCCCTCCATGTTACAGGGGACCTGGTGGGAGGACAGAAACCACAATAGAGCAAAGCACAATTTAGAGAACAACATTCAAACTTAACACTAAACTTTAATCTTTGAAAAAATGCTAACAGGAGAAGCATTTTCTTTTTTTGCCAAAGAATGTATTTCCAAATTAATAAAATATAGAACTTTCTTTGTCTCATTCAACATTTTCATAGGAAACAGCAGGATCAAGATCGTTATGGGGAACCCACATAACGACAGACCTGAGCTAGTGGGAGCTCATGACTCTGGACCAACAGGTACGGAGCCTGCATGGGACAAACCTAGGCCCTCTGCATGTGGGTGACAGTTGTAAAGCTTGGTCTGTTTGTGGGGTTCCTAGTAGTGGGACCAGGACCTATCATTGCCGCATGACCTAGCTCCTTGGAACCTGTTCCTTTGTTGCCCAGCTTTGATGGAGGGAAGGATCCTGATTCTGTCTCAACTTGATAGGCCATGCTATGCTGACTCCCATGGGGGACCTCCCCCTTTCAAAATGGAGGAGGCACAGATAGAAAATAGTATGGAGGTAAATGGAGTGGAGGAAACTGTGGTGTGTATGCAAAATAAATGAAAAACAATAATAAAAGCAAACAAAATATTAAGGTAAAATTAACAAATAAGACAAAAAGACTACATTTACATATTTTCCCATCATTTACAAAACAATATTTTTTTCTTCAAGTTTTCTTAACATTGTTTTTCCTGTTCTGAGGCAATCATCAGTAGGCTATTATGATAAGATGTATGAATTTTGTCAGTTATTGTTTTCTAAGTTAATTGTTGAACTAACTCCCTCATACACATGTAATTTCACAACACCCAGCTGTATTCACAACTCATATCAATACAAAAAGGACTTTGAAAATAAGATCCATACTTTTTAAAAAAATTTTGACACTATTATTTCATAACAGCATAAGAGTTATTTCCTTGTTTAAATTTTTCCCACAATTTTTTTATTGATTCTTTAAATTTCATATCATACACCACAGCCATAAACATTTCTCAGGTCTTTTAGATCTCCTTCCAACCTTGTATCTTCACTCCCCAAAAGACAATAGAAAATTAAAATTACAAAAAAGTCTCATGGTAGAATGTGCACTGTCTCACGGTGTCACACGGTGTACTTGTGAATGTTCGCTGTAATGAGTCATCGGACTGGTTCAAGGACTCTGGGCTCTGCTACACTACCAATGCTGGATCTTCTCTGAGACTCCTCTGGGCTATCCTGTTGCTGCTCTGTGTCATTGAGATCCTGCGACTTTGGTTCTGCAGGACCTGCCCCATGAACTCCAATAGCTCATAGATGGGGTAGGTGTTGGGTGGGCCAACTCAAAACCCGGGATCTAGGCTGAGTGATAGCTGAGAAAGTCACCAATGCTAGCTCCCCCATGATTCCCAGGGGAGGGGTGAGGCTGGCTTTTCTGTATCCACACAATCAGGGCTAGCTCTTCCTCATCCATGTCACAAGGGCCAACTATCTGACAATGACAAGATACACAATGAGGGGTAAGGATCAGCTTTCTCACACTAATGACGCCATCATCATCTATACCTTCATTTATGGTCAGCTCTTCCTAGCTGCTCAGGTAAGTTGCAGGGCTAGCTCAACCTAGTCCTGTGGCCAGCAATTGGTGGGTTTAGTTCTCCCATGCACACAGCATTGGGGCCATCACTTTCCCCCACAATGCCAAGGCAAGGGACAGGGGCATCTTTTTTTGCACTTGTATCACTGCTGGTGCTACTGTGTGATGGCTGGATCAGCTCAGCACCATACTCTGACAACATCATGCCTTAAATGGGAGCCCAGACCAAGGAGGTCCACATTGCATGAACGTTGTCACAGACCCTTGCTACAGAAGTGCCATGGCCCTCTGCAGCAGCACAGGTCCAGATAACACCATGGCCTCCAATAGCAGTTCAGGCCTCTCACATCAGGCCGTTCCTTGCTGCCTTCACATCTACAGTCCCATCTGTCTTCACAGAGAACAAACTGCTCCCACTTCCCTTTCTGTCTCACCTCTCCACCAAATATTTGCTCATCATAACGCTGCATGCCCTGAACCATGCCAAGGCCTCTCCTTAGTTTTTAAATTTTCATTTTTGTTTGATACAGAAGAGGGTTTATTTCATCTCATAGCTTCCTTTTCATTGCTGAAGAAAAGTAGACAAGAAATTCAAGGCAGGACTCAGGAGGCAGAACTGAAGCTGATACCATGGAGGAACTCTGCTTACTTTGTTATTCCTTATCATTTGCTCAGCCTTTTTAATTATGTCTTTCATTTTGTAAAATTATAATATAATTGCATTATTTCTCCCTTCCGGTCTAATGAAGTTATGCCTTGATAGAGTAATCAATGAATGTTCAGAAGGCCGTTCATAAACTAGAACGATGCTGAAATGTAGTTCATGTGCATTCTCAATGAACTCTACTCTCTCTTCATTTTCTTTCCTGTCTTTATAAACTTTCGATAAATGAATAAGAAGGATTTTATGGAAAGGAAAGCTATGGCTGCCACACAGGCCAGAAGGAATCCAATCACATCCAGAGAGTAGTACTGGTACCAGGTGAGGTTGTGTGCAAGTGGCCTCAGGTGCTTGGCCCCTTTGTGGCGCATGACAAACTCAATCCAGAAGATGACTCTGTCCAGGGGTTTCATGGGCTGGTCATGGTGAATGGTTGACAACCACATAGCATTCTTTTTATAGCTGAAAGTAAGAAAATAGACATCAACTTACATAAGAAATGAAAAATATACATATGTAAATTCTTGTGTAAACATTAAAGATAATCACACTATAGAATGAAAATATATTTTGTTTCATGTTCATGACTAGGAAGATCTTCAGGAGCATGTCTGAGTTCCTTGAGCATACAAGATTAAGCATGTCACAATAATAATAAAGAACAAGTTATTACTAAAGTAGAGTTTAAAGACTGCTATGTCTTAAATACAAAATAAATCAGAATGAGATATTATTTGAGCATATAAAGCTTCAGTTACCATAAGCAATTATTAGTAAATTTTGTGTGCAAAATTTGTAATAGTGTCAGCATTTATGATTAGAAGGTAAATCGCTCTCAAGTCCTCATGGTGGTGCATATCTGTGTAAAGTTGATAAAGATTGAAATGACATTTTTATGGTACAGCTATCAATGATTAGTGGTTTTAATTGCAAATGTGTCTTGGTTTTTATTAATTAGCTGTAATAGCTGCTTTCTCCTTGGTTTTATGTTTTTCTAATTAAGGTTATCAAATATTTGATAAAATTAATAGGAAGAATAATTTTCTTATTTTTACTGCACTGAATATATTATTACTTTCATTATTCTTATTGTAAAGTATAATCACAGTAAATTTTTGATATTATTTTTAAATATGTGCATGAGAGAGTATGTGTGTAATGTAAACTGTGTGTGTTTATGTTTGTGTGTGTGTGTGTGTATGTGTGTTATGAGATCTACTGGAGTTAGAGTTACCAACTGATGTAAATGTTGGGAACAAAACTTTGATCTTCTGCTGGAGTAGACCTTTGCTTATCCACAGAGCCATCTTTCAGGCCTAATTTTTTAAGAGGTTGGCCAGGTCTGTCAAAGAAACTCCCTAAACATTGAGCCTTTGATGTTGCTTATTCTCCAAAGGTGGAAAGTAAGTTTCTACTGCTCAATGAGCATTCAATTCAGAATCAGAGCTCAGAGATCCCTCAGCTAGAACTGACTTGCCATCCCTTTACCTGAAAACTAGCTTTTGTGGTATAAAACAGTAGAGAGGACTAAAAGATTTTAAAAGCCAGAGGGAACTGCTGTAAAGTTGTTTCTTTGATAAACTACACTCATGAAGTCTCAACAACATAGGTACCTAAACAAGATCTTCTTGTGGATATTTTTGTGTAAATATTAAAAATAATTAAACAGTATTATCACAGCATTCTGTAAATAAGATTGGCATATGAAGAAGTGACTTGGGCCCAAGACAGGGCTTAACAGGGAAAACTAAACTGACTTCTGAGAGAAAGAAGAGAAGTCATGCATCCTCCTGAAGAGACAGATTACAGACACCTATTGGTAGGCCAAAACCATGTGGTGATACATAGATTAATACAAATGAGTTATTTTAAGATATAAGAGCTAGCAAGAAATATGCATATGCAAATAGTCCAACCAGTGTTGTAATTAATATAGTTTCTGATTGGTTATTTTGAGGCTGAGTGACTGGAAACAAACAAGCAGCTTCTTCCAAAAGTTTTGAATAAGCATGATACCAGTAAGCCATGCTAACATGAAAAGGGATAGGACTCTGGTCCTACCTCCATACAAAATTTTATAGGCACTGAAGTAATGCTGAAAACGGGAAAGATATATTCTTTTTCCAAAAGAGCTCTTTTTGGAAAGAGCTTCCAAATGGAGTTTTTCAATCAAAGAAAAATAATTATCAACATGTTAATTTGCTTTACAGTAATAGGTTTTCATTATTTAAATTTATCCTAAGACAGGTTGCATATTTAAATATCTAACCATTCCCTTACTTTTATATTAATATCTATGCTATTTTGATGTAGAAAGTTACAACTTTCATAAATGATACCTATCTCTTTTATAATATTCAACTTCTCTGTTGTAATATTTTCCTATCTCTTCTAGATATACGATATCTGGTACCACATCTAACATTTCATTCTTGCAAGGAGGGCCGCATGTTGGTTCCTGGCCACCCAGCTAGCTTAGACCTGAAATAATCACACAAAAACTGTATTAATTAAATCACTGCTTGGCCCTTTATCTCTAGCTTCTTATTGGAAAACATTTACATATTAATTTAACCCATTTCTAATAATCTGTATATCACCACATGGCAGTGGCTTACCAGCAAATTTCCCATCATGTCTAGCTAGGGAAAGGTGGAAATGGTTTGGGAAGTCCTTCAGTCTATGTGTTGTTTTTATTGTTTAATGAATAAATCTATTGAGCCTATGGCAGGGAAGAACATAATTAGGTGGGGAAAGCTAGGTTGTATGATGGGAGAAGGAAGGGGGAGTCAGAGAGATGCCATGGAGTTGCCACTGAAGACAGATGTGCTGAAACTTTGCTTGTAATCCATTGCAATATGATGATATAGAGAATAATAGAAATGGGTTTAATTAATATGTAAGAATTAGCAAATAAGAAGTTAGAGCTAATGGGCCAAGCAGTGATTTAATTAATACAGTTTCAGTTTGATTATTTTGGGTCTGGACAGCCAGGAACCAACAAGTGGCTCTCCCTTCCAACAAACTGTTGCCAATATTGTAGACTAAAATCCACATAAAAGCTGAGAAAGCATGAAAAGGAATTCTAGACTCAAAAATACAGAGTTTAACACAGCTTCTTGCTGTTTTCTGGCATTTTGCTGCAAATCACTTAAGAGAGGTTTTTCTGATTCAGTTGCGACCACTTTGAAATGCCAGCTTTCAGGCCTTGCTGCCAGTGTCACCTCTGGCTCTTTCAGGAGACGAAGTATTTGGATGGGGTCTGTAAGCAGACTGCTGCAGTTTGCTTAGTGGTGGCATTGACTAGCTGTATGCCTGAGAATGGGGCTTTGGGCATGGCTCTCAGAGGCAGCAAACAGCTCTGCCATGCTGGACTGTGCCAAGAAAGCAGATAGTACCATGTATACCATAGTAATGGCACAGATTAAGTTTTTTTTAATTAATTTATTTATTTATTAAAGATTTCTGTCTCTTCCCCTCCACCGCCTCCCATTTCCCTCCCCCTCCCCCGATCAAGTCCCCCTCCTCATCAGCCCAAAGAGCAATCAGGGTTCCCTGACCTGTGGGAAGTCCGAGGACCACCCACCTCAATCCAGGTCTGGTAAGATGAGCATCCAAGCTGCCTAGGCTCCCACAAAGAGTGTGGTAAGCCAGACCCAAAAAGAGGAACATGGGATGTACTCACTCATATTTGGTTTCTAGCCATAAATAAAGGACATTGAGCCTATAATTTGCCATCCTAGAGAAGCTAAATAAGAAGGTGAACCCAAAGAAAAACATATAGGCATCCTCCTGAATATAAACCTTCATCAGGCAATGAAAGGAGACAGAGACCCACATTGGAGCACCGGACTGAAATCTCAAGGTCCAAATCAGGAGCAGAAGGAGAGAGAGCACGAGCAAGGAACTCAGGACCGCGAGGGGTGCACCCACACACTGAGACAATGGGGATGTTCTATCGGGAACTCACCAAGGCCAGCTGGCCCGGGTCTGAAAAAGCATGGGATAAAACCGGACTCGCTGAACATAGTGGACATTGAGGACTACTGAGAACTCAAGAACAATGGCAATAGGTTTTTGATCCTATTGCATGTACTGGCTTTGTGGGCACAGATTACGTTTTAAAAAGCATTCTTGGACAGTAAAGAATTATAGATACAAAATAGGACAGATTCAGAAATAAAAGACCTCTAAGTGAGGACACAGAGTTGGATAAATGTACATAGCCTTGGGAGAGAGAAAGAAAAGAGTATAGAGAGTTGTAAAATAAGTAAATCATACAAAAAACAAAGTCTTTAAAGAGACAGAGTGAGACAGTCATAGAATATAAAAAGTAAAGAAAAATAAGCCACATAAAGACAATGGAAAATTCACAGAGTCTGGATTATGTATACTATTTATTTCTTTGAATTTTTTGACTGTGAAGGAGTTAAGTACAAGGAGACATTTTATTGCATGGACTGCTAAGCTAAACTAGCATGTATATTATAAAGGTATCTTGACTTCAAAATTTGGGTCTAAGAATATGTTGCTTTGGAAAAGAGGTTCTTCTCTTGTTTCCACAGAAATTGACAACCTGTGGATTACTTCCAGACTGGTTGATGTTTGCCTTGAACATTCCTCAAAAGATTACATTTTCCAATAAACAGCAAGAAGCAGTTTGGAGAGAAACTACACCAATATTTCTAAATATTATTATAAATATCTCTTTATATTTAAAGGGGGGATATGTTATAGATACTTGCATTTGTATGGATCTAGGTTTATTGATGCAAATCTAAGGTCAGTCTTATTATATGTATTTTTCTGCTCTTGATTAAGGTATTGTGATTATGAAGTTCATTTAAAAATGTAATGTATAACTAAGAAATATAGGTTAATAGATGGGCATCTATAATAGTCAAGTTTATAGTCATGTTAGGTTTTTTAGATATCTATAGAGAGAGATATTTAATTTAGGTATTCTTAAAATCTTTCAGAGACCTGCAGAATATGGCATTTAAATGTTTTAAGAAATTAGGACTTTTCATGACAAAGAGACACATCTGCACCTGGCAGCACAAGCTACTTCATGAAGAAGATGGGCATCAAAGAGGCTCCTTTTGGTGTTTGTTAGCCATTTGGGCAAGAAACTGCTCTTGCATAGCTGCATAAACTGGACATGCAGGACCCACAGGGAAATGACTGCTGGACTTCTCTAAAGGTGAGATGGTTTTTTGGTTTCCTGCTACATGAAAGAGTCTGCCAGACACTGTGTAGGACACAGAAGAAAGTGACTGGCAAACAGCCAATATAGGCAGAAGTGTCTTTAAGATTTCCTGCTTCATCAAAAAGTCTGCTGGATACTATTGGAATGTAGGCTGAAGATGAATGCCCCAACAATACAGAAGAACTTTGGGTGACTGTCCAAGCAGTGAGATGTGTCTTTCAAGTCTACAGTTTTAGAAGTTGCTTACAATGCACCTCCTGTTTACTTAGGTAATGTCATATCTTTCTGGAGTCTTTGATGGAATTGAAGAATGTATACTTATAGTTTTACTTAGTTATGATAAAAGGAATAAATATTGTAGCTGTAATTTTTGCTTCATAACTGTTTTATTAAATGTAATTTACTATGTTAAAGCCTTCCTTTAAGTTTAAACAGAAAAGGGGAAATGGTGTATGAGGTCCTTCTGTCTGTGTATTGCTTTTATTGGTTAATGAATAAAGAACTGGCTTGGCTATAGCATGGGAGGAGGAAGTGGGAGCCAAAGAGGTGCCATGGAGCTGCTGAAACTTTGCCTGTAAGCCACTACCATATGGTGATATGCAGATTAATAGAAATGGGTAAAATTAATATTTAAGAGTTAGACAATTAGAAGCAAGACCTAATGGGCCAAACAGTGATTTGATTACTATAGTTTCTGTGTGATTATTTTGGGTCTGGGCAGCAAGGAACAAACAACTGGATCTCTCCTCCAACATTTCATTTCACTTCACTTATTGGCTATTTAAGATTTATACTATCCTTAAAACTCTGACCAATTACTTTACTAAAAGAATTAAAAATAAAACTTGTCCAGAGCTGGTGCCAAATTCCTGCTGAACAAGCTGCTTGGAGGAATAAGTAGAAGAATTACACATTTAGGAGAAGTATGATTACACATAGGAAAGAAGTATGATTACACATAGGAAAGATATCTATGGCACAACATGGAAATAAAAAGTAATAACAAAAGAGGGAAAAACCTATGACACTGAATTATTCCCTAATTTGTCTCTCTTCTTTCCAATATTTTTGCCTTCAGCATAATTCCTGCACCTTTGTCCTTCAGTAAGAATCATGATTAATGATAAACAAATAAAACATATATTTTTTATAGTTTATACTCACAAAGGATTATCTACCACAGCCTCCAGTGCATTGAGCAAATCCGTCCTTGTCATTGTTCTGAAATCTAACGAAACAGCTGCTCCTTTGGCTACCATGTATGCAATGTTATCATACTGCTCTGCAAACAAAGGAATGCCAATCATAGGGATTCCAAAATGGATCGCCTCATAGATTCCATTGGCTCCACCATGAGTTACAAAGGCTTTGGTTTTTGGATGACCTAGAATAACATGAATGCAGGTTGACATTAAGTAGCAGTCTTAGACATGAAATGAGGAATGTGCACTATCAGGAACTGAAAGGAGACTTTCTACATGAAGATTCCTTTTTAATTAATTAAATATATTAGTTTAGTTTATCACAACTGCTGTTTCCCATCCCTCCGCATTCCCCCCCCCAATACCTATGTGAAGATTTTTAAACTCATAACCTCGGTGAAGATTTTCTTGTCTCAGAGCAAGAAGAAACTAAATTTACAGAGAGATATTTTGCAGAATTGCTTTTAACTTGAGAGTTGAACTATGAAATTCTGGTTCCCAGTTGAACACATGGGGTGCATAGTAGCTAAGGAAAAATGAGTATTAAAAAAGTCCTACTGCATACCAGAACTTGTTATTTTAATAAATAATACATTAATTAAGTGTGATATAAAGGATTTTGAAATCAACTATGATAGGTTTGTTCCAAGAGTCTTACCTAGAAGGTCATTCTGGGGGAGCCATTTGTAAACTCTGGTATTGGATCCTAAGGTGTTTGGTGTTTTGCCCTCAAATCTCCAAATAACCTGTTAAAGCGTAAAGAATCTTTATCTATAGAGCAAAATTTAGCATTATACAATATACAGATTGAATAAGTTATATTTGGGAGTATAAATATATACATATGCATATATGTATGGAATAGCATTAATAAAAATGATGCTATGAATTTGAAAGAGAGCAAGGAGAATGGATATGAGAAAATTTGGAGGAATAATGAAAAGGGAGGTATAATGCACTTGTATTATAATTTCAAAAATAGAAATTATAAAAATAGATTTTTTATATTTAATTATAACATAGGTAAATACCTCCCAGAGGAGGAATGAAGATATCAGAAAGAGTAAATATTGCAAACTATAGAGAGACTGAGAAGAAGATTGTGCCAGCAAAATCTGGGCTTATATTTACATTCAGGCAGGTTGAACATCATCATCAGTTTTCTAAGCAGAGATGTTTAGACAAATGAGATAGATAATAATGCATGCGCAATGGTTGCTGTATGATTTTTATATAATTGCTAAAACGGTTCTTAGCCCTTTCAGACGTCTTCAGTGGCAAGTGTGGTTTGCAGGTAAAGCCCATAAAAAGTTCTAGAACTAGGATTGGGGTAATCCTAAATGTCACATATGAAATGCTGACGGGGTGTGGTATATTTGTATCAACAGATTATCAGCTGCATAATATGCTTCCAACAGCTCTCGCACACATTAGGGATGTAGTTATGGCTTCCTGGATTTAGCTGATATGGAATCTGACTTCAGGTCTAAGAATGTAGTAGATATACAAAGTCCCTCTCTGCCTTATGGTTGATTTCATAGAGAAACTCAAAGATGGTATTGAAAATCAAGGAAAGGGGGAACAAACTTAAGTGTTATTATTAAGACATTTAGCTTTTGATAATGTTGATAAAGATTATCAAGGATTAACAATGCCTCAAAGAGAAATAGAAAGTGTTCTGTATTTTCCGAAGTAAATTAAATTCATAATGTAGGGATCTACAAACAAAGTAAAATTACCTGGTATAAAACTCTATGTAGTACTAAAATAGATGTTAGGAAGTGGACAATTGAAGAAGCAAAGTAAATTGCCCCTACAATAATAAGTTCAGAACCAATGAGTTCCAGATTTTACCCTATATGCAAGGAAGGAAAACATTGGGTTAAGAAATGTTGAGCCAGTTTTGGTAAGGATGGGAATACATTGCCTGGCAACAAAAGAAATACCAGCTAATAATAGGAAAACATGTTTATTCCCCTAAAGGCCCCACAAAATTAAAGGTTTTTAAGGCAAAAATAACAACATTGATACCAGACTTCAGATTATAATCAAACCAGTCTTTTATTTCAAGATGTCATTCAAGGAAGTGCTGTTATTGGTAGTCCTTGACCTTAATTATTGCCGTTTCCCATCTTCAATGTCCTTTAAGGTTACACACAGAATATTGGGGACTTATACTGCCTCAAAGAGTTGGACTTTTATTGGGTTGCAATAGTTTATCCATGAATGCAATCATAGTTCATACAGGAATCATTGATGAAGATTTAACAAGGGAAACTGCAGTCATGAATACAGTGCCTACTAATTGGTCTATTAAGGCAGAAGAAAATTGCAGTTATTACTAATGTCTATATAGACCTTCACAAAGAATCATGATTTGTGAGCAAAGACTCAGTACAAGTAAGACTATGTAGATTTAAGCACCTTACTAAAGGAAAATGATAAACCATTATTGGACTTAAAATTAAAAGGAAAAATGTATACAGTATTAATTATTTATAAGGGACTGATGTTTCTATTATAACCATGGAATAATGGCCACCTCGATGGCTTGTTTCAGGGGATAAATTCAACCCTAATAGGTTTGGGAACTATGAGTTCTAAAAGATTAAACAGAATGTTACAAAATTACAAGACATAATGGAAATCCTTCAGCCTCGTATTATTCATATTCTGATTAATTTTGGTAAAGAGACTTTCTACAACAGACTCATGCAGAGATCTATATTCCCACATCTAATGATACCCGTTCTCCACAATCGAAATTCTAATGAAATTTTGAGTTGTCAAAAATGAAAAACACTAAAAAAACAGATGCAAGAGATTATGGGGCCTATATTCCCAAGTATATGGGGACATAAGTACTACTGAGTATTTCATAGGAGTCAAAAATTATATAAAAACCTAGTGACCCTGACTGGAAATCTCAATGGCCTGTTTCTAAGGAAAAGATAAGGGCTCTTCACAAGGTCGTCAGAGAACAGTGAAAAACGAGCACATAGAGTCCCCCATTTCTCCCTGGAATTCTCCTGGTTTTGTAATTAAAAACTAATCTGGTAAATGGAGATGGATGATTGACTTGTGAAATGTTATTGCCACCATGTGGCCAATGGGAGCTTTACAGCCTGGTTTACCTAAAGACAGCTACTGTTGGCCTTTAATAGTTTTGCATTTGTAAAAAATGTTTTTTTGCTATACATATTCATCCTCATAATAAGGTACATATTGGCTTTTCTGTTCCTTCATTCAACCATAAATGATCTCAGTTGTGATATTAACCCAAGACATTTCAAAATCCCTTAATATGTGTTAATACTATGCAGCAAAAGATTTAGACCCTGTGAGGGAGGCCTTCCCTTGGGTGGGCTTAGATGGACAAATTGCTAAGGTGCTTATTTAATACTGCAAAGTTGACCTGGCTTCCTGATTTTCCCTATATCCTTCAGTCCCTACCTGTGAGACCCTCCTGGCTGACATACCCTGACCCCTATCATGAACTCTCCAGCCCAAGGTGCTGGGCTGTTCTTCCCTATATAACCCAACCATTATGATTACCTGTTCTTTTTCATGCTTTTGGTCTCCAGGCTGTTTTCACCTGATTCTCCTCTCTCCTGTCTCCCCTCCCCTCTCCCTCTCCCCTCTCCACATCTGGCCCAGCTCATTCTGGTCATGACCTCTCTAAACTCTTCAAGTTGTCACTGTCCCTGCCTCTGGCTATTATATCTATAATAAATATTCTTCTCCAGCATAACTTAGAAAAGTTATATCCCTTTCTTATCTTTTTATTTTCAATATTATTAATTATATGGATGATATCCTGTTAGTATTCCCCAAAGAGAAAGAGCTACAATCCATATAGGACATGAATCAGGATGTACTACAAAAATATGGGCTTATTATTACACATGAAAAAGTACAGCAATGAGACACCATGTAATACCTGGGATAACTAGTTACTGGAACAACTGCTAAGCAACCCTTCCTCGCCCACAAATGTCCATTAGAAAATTTAAAAACATTCAATGCTTTGCAAAAGCTATTAGGGTATCTTAATTTTCTGTATACCATTTTATGAATGCCTAATTATGACCCAGCCAATCTATCTAAAACTCTGAAAGGAGAGAAAGCATTTTATAGTTCTTAGCTTTATCTTGAGTGGTAATGAAAGAATTATAATTATTTGATTTTAAATGAAAAGAAGCATTGTATATTGTGTAGCGTCATAGCCACAAGTTGGAGTGACATCTTTTGGGGTGACATCTGTCGGGGTTCAGCCTTGACAGGTTTTGCACATTCCACAATAGCAGCACATGGATTAGAAAACTTAGGTAGGAAGAACAGAGATATGAAAGAAGTACAGAGACATTAGGATAGCAGCAAGAATACTGAATACTGAATTTGCCCATGTTTGTTTTTCATATGCTTATATAACCCAATCCAACAAAGGGGGAAGAAGGCAAAAGACTGATTTAACATGGCACAAAAGAAAAATAGGACAATTGTTTGCTTCAATACTTCAGATGTCAACTCACTATTTACTGAGTTAAGCATTCTGATGTTTTAGGCAGGACATTCAGTGGCTACACCTTAGACCAAGTATGCTCTTGGTGGTCAATCCCTGGGCCAAACATATCTTATCCTTAAAGAAACAGAAATAGGCTTGAGTTCTCTGACCTTTGCTCAATGGGCCCCCACAGTGTGGATCTTTTGCTGCCTTTAAACTTATTTTCACTACTCAATTATCTCCTAGAGGAAGTGTAGCACAAAAGAATAAACTGTTAGAATGGATTTATTTACACCATAAGGTCCATACAACACTAATTTCTTACTTTCCTTTTCTTGTTCAATCAGTAAATCAGGGGAGGACCCAATGTCAACAATCATATGGCTTTGATCCTTGCTGTACTATATTACGTCTGACTTACAATCAGTTTTAAAGATAGTTCCAGAAATGTATGGGTTTTGAAATTTTATTTATACATTACTATGAAGGATAGAACAGTATTTTACATTTATCTCCTTATCCTATTATTTCTTGGACTGTGTTTTTGCCCTTCTCCCAGATGTAGTAGAAAGGAGTGGATCTACTTCAGGGTAACCACTACTGCTTGCTGCTGTTATCCAGATAATGTATAGACTGCTCTTTGTGTGCCTCTGTGGAAAAACATGTTTTTGCCGCACAGGGTTTCTCATTATGATTGTATACAGCTTTAACTCATGTATGTTTTGCTCATAAGACCTTTCTTAACCTTCAGCATATACGTTGTCTGATTCTCTGAATAAAGTTGATAACTGCCTAAGATTTTATTCTGCTTCATTTTCAGTTCCATTCACCCAGGTCTCACTACTCCTGGAGCAGGGACAGTTTAGGTTTTAAAATAAAACATTCAACTTGCTGTGCTACCTTCTCCCCCAAAGACTTTTGTTCTTTGTAAAGTTATTTATGCAGACCAATAGGCTGAGAACATGCCTGCACATTGGGTCTCCATCTGCCATCTATAGGATGAAGATGACCACAGAAAGTGAAACTGACATTTCCTTTTTCTTCACTTCTTTGGGAGGTGAGATAATAACCTTTTGTCACATTCATCCCCCTACATCAATCTTCCCTAAATCATCCCTTCTCTATCCTTTCTACTCGGTACCCCTAAAAAGGTTCTTTTAAGACCAGATGTGTACTCCAAATACTCATGGGTACTCTGTGACAGAAAAACCAGTCTCAGGCTGAAGCCTACAATACACGCTAATGTTGAAATTCTCAGACAGATCTCATAAAATCGAGCATTAGCCACATAGCTAACATGAATTTGCGATGTGACTGATAAAATCAACTACAGGATGACATCAAAAAATTAATGCAGGTGATTAAACAGGGGCTCTTCCACTACAACACTTAAAAACATTCATAAACATTCAAATTTAATCCATAGAAAATTACTTTGCAGTATGCTTTATGAAGAGAGTGATCTGAAACCTTATTTTTTACCTTATGTTCCTTTGGTTCCTTTCTTATTTTCCTATTTCTTCCTTGAATTATAAAACTTTCACTCTGCCTGGTTAAGAGCAGAGTGGAGAGTTTCATTTTTTTATGATGCAGACATCACTGTGAGGGAAGCACCCGTCTCTACCTTTCCCTTGGATATTTTTCCTACAAAAACTGGCAAGTCAACCAAAAATTAGATTTTTTATTGCATTTTCTCTCAATTAGCCAAAAATGTACTTTGCTTGACAGTTGATGAGCCTCAGACAACCTTCCTTTAATTGGTCCTCTCAACTGCACACTGAACAGGTCTATTCCAAAATTAGAATGCAGAGTCATGCTGCATTTCAAACTTTTCAACATATTCTTACCGTTATTCTGATAGAAATACTAGATACAAATTAACTCACCCCTGAAAATCTAATGTATGCAATGACATTAAGGAATCAACAAATAGAACAAGTGACTCTGAAGAGTTTGGCTGTGTCTATATACTCTTGATAGCAATGCCATCATGCCAGAATTTCAGAATGTTCCCACATTGATCACTGTGTTTATATATGAGTCACCCTCAGTCAAGAACACCTTCTGCAGTATTAAAACATCTGTTGTGAATATAAATTTCTAAATTCGGCTAAGGGAAATTAGAGCTTCCTTAAAACTTTACCTTTCACAGAATCATTTCTATAATCAGACCTTTCAGGGACGTTCACAGGCTTAGTATATGGTCACCTCCCATGAACTGCTTTCCCTCACCTTTTGTGGAATCTGGGCAAGAGCCCATGCAATTGCATTGGCTTTGTCTTCTGATATGTGACTGACCATTGACCCCAGAGAAAACACCACAACACCATGCTCTCCAGAGGTCTGGACAAAGTCTTCCATTTCCTGTGAAGAGAATTTGCTTCATGAAAAAATACAGTTGTAGAATAACCACTTATAAAACCTTTATTAAAAAAACTATGAGAATAAACATTGAAGTGTTTATAGGATTATATACTATAGTGGTGTAAAAACATACAGAAGACAAGCACGGAAATGTCAAAGACTTTGAACTTTGCAGGCATCTACACAAACTATACTCACACATTGTCCAACAGATATTCTAAATATTTGCTTCAGGCAAAATTAAAATTCAAGCCGGGCGGTGGTGGCGCACGCCTTTAATCCCAGCACTCTGGAGGCAGAGGTAGGTGGATCTCTGTGAGTTCGAGGCCAGCCAGGTCTACAAGAGCTAGTTCCAGGACAGGCACAAAAAACTACAGAGAAACCCTGTCTTGAAAAAAAAAATCAAAAAAAATTAAAATTCAAAAGTGCAAGCATATTCTATGAAGCATTCAAAATTGTCCCTTCATTTACAAACTTTCTTCCTACAGAAATTTTAATTTTCTTCTATAATGCCTGATTTAATATTATTAACTAATATTTGATGAAATAATATTTATGTAATAGTAAATAGTATGTACATATGTGGTGGCTTTCACAAACATCCTACTATGATTAATAAAATGCTTTGATTCTTTGTGAAACAAACATAACTGCAAGATAAATATAGCGTATATTATAATTTTCTGATATTGTGTATGAATAGGATATTTTCAGAGCTGATATCCAAAATTTACTGGTTGGAGAAAATCTATGTCTATGTCGTTTGTTCGGATATCAAACATTTACTTCAGATATATGATTATCATAGCTTTTGGTGATGAGCAGTTTATGCCTGTTGAGTTGAACTGACTTAATTTCTCTCTCTTTTGTCATGTGTTTATATGTGTGTGCATGTGTGCACATGTGTGTTTGTGTATACATGTGTTTACATGTATGTGTGCTTGTGTGTGTGTCTGTGCACATGTGTATGTGTGCTTATGTGTCTGTACCTATGTCTATACATATCTGTGTGGGTAGGTATGTGAGTGTGTTGGGTTGCTGGGCAGGTTCCTTGCCTTTGTTCAGCACATAGATGCCAAAAGTTAAAATCTCTATCAATCTTCAACATAGGTTTTGAGACTGTCTCACATTGAACACAAATCCTACCATTTTTTAACAGACCAGTGGCCATCAAGCTCCCAGTATCAACCTGTTTCTACAACCTCAGTGCTAATGTCATTGCACTGTCCTGGGACACCCCGCTTTTTACCTGGGTGTTGTGATTCAAACATATATCCTCATAATTGCTTGGAAAGGACTTTACCCAATTAGTAATCACCTAGGTACATTAACTGACATAATTTAATTCACTGATAATAATATTTCCCAGGTCTATCACATTCTATCTTAAGTTTATTGACCTCCTATTTAGCAGGATGCTTAAATCAACTTCCTATATCTCTATCCCTGGTAGATAAAATCTGATGAAAGCTGTAGAATCATGTTCACCAGAAAGAAAATCAAATAAAAAAATTAGATATAAAAATAAAAAAAATCAGATAAAAAAGAATATTTACCTGCGGCAAGGGTTTAGCAGGTTTGCAGTGGAGACCTCCTACATAGTCAACATTTGGTAAGGTTGGGCGAGGAAACTCCAAATCCCAGTAGGATCTAATGAGCCACATTTCTGCTTTGCCTATTGTCTCAGTTAAGGTGGTAGGCCTTCCTAGAAGGAGAAATGAGCAAGTGAGAAGGAGAATAGTTGAATGATTGTCATTCAAATATAAAATATATTTTGTTAAATGATGGAAGAATATATGCTTGATATGAAACATGTGTATTCAAAAGCCAGTGTTTATTGATATGTAACATAATTTGCAGTGTAATTGATTTGTTGCCCACATAATATGTCAGTTTGGGTATATTTTCAAAGCAAACTGTAAGAATTAACTAATGTTTCCACACTTACTTGAAATAATAAATATTTATTGAAATAACCCTCTAAGCCACTATTCAACAAGCACACATTTTACTCCTCTCTACATCTTTAAAAGGAACAGTGCAAATATTAACACACATTCCTGGTCCAAAAGTCACTTCACACCGTGTACCATGGCCAAACTTCCCCAGGGTCATTGTAGTTTGTAGCTTGTCCTTCTTCCTCTTTTTGCTAAAGGAGCTGTATAGTTTATGAGTGGTTGAATTTCTGGTAAGTACTTCTACCTTTGTTTCATATTAAGAAATTTAATAGTACTTATCTTACAAAAACCATCAAAGTATTTTCAGAAATTATGAGAATAGAAATTTTGGCCAGTCTTACCTTTGAAATATTTTTTAAGATGAATAAAAAATAGGACTTCAGAAAAATATAGACTGGGTATGTGTGTATCTATCCTTCCATAGTGTTTAAACAATGGATGTTAGGAAAGTACACAATAAAAAAGTATGGTGTTGGTAGATAACCCAGTTCCACTTTTAAGTCTGTGAACTAACATAGTATCTTACAAGAGTAAAGGAATTCTTTAGGATATACAAATTATAATTTATATTTTTATTTATGTATATGTGTGTCTGTGTGAATATATACTAAGTTTATTCAGGAATTGGCAGATACTATAAAAGGGCAGCAGGTCCCCTGAAACAGAACTTACAGGCAATTTTGAGACACTGGACCTGGGTTGGTGCTAGGAACAGAACTCAGGTACTCAAAATGAACAGAAAAAACTTTAACTCTTTGAGCATGTTTTTATATCCCAAAGTTTAGTTTAAATAAATATAGTTTCCTAGGCAAGAGAAAACAATTTCTGTAATGTTATATACATAGGAAAACTGTAAAATATCTCATTTCATAATATATATTAATTATGATTTTTAATTAGCTAGTGACTTATTAAAATAGATTAAAAATTACAGAAAATGAGTAAAGAATCACTTAAGAAAAGTCTACTTGCTTTTCTTTATGGATCTGTATCTCAGCAGAATTCCTGTATCAGGTCTGATAACTGCTTCTGTTTGATCAGGAATATGAACTTTTACAGTGCATTTCACAGCTAATATCATATTACATTTGATCACCTATAAAAGGCAACTTCACTTTGAATTTCATGGACATAAGTATAGATTTAAATAACTGCGAAATTTAGGTCATATAGCTACTGATAAGAACATAACTTACCCAACGTTTCACTGTAAAACTGGCTCCATTTCTTTTCATTAAATGTCTGGAACCAAAAGTCGAAATACAGCATACACATCATATTTTTTACCCTCTCCATGAATGTCATTTGACCACCTAGTCCCGACAAAATCATGGGTACATAAGAGGGAGGGACTAGAAATTTCCCACTGTACTTTTCCATTGTATAGCCAGGAGTGAAGCGCAGACTGTACAGAAAAGGGATCTGGAGAAGTTCAGCTATCAACTCCCCACAGGGAGCAATGGCATCTGAGAAAAGGACATCAAATTTGGATCCCTGTAGTTTTGTCATAAGTTGTTTGTTTGAAACTGTGTCTCTGCAAAGCCTCAGATAGCTATCAGATAATTCATCAGCCACGTTTTGTAGCAAAGGAGAGAAGGATAAACACAAATCTCTTGGTAATTCATGAATCCATACATTCACAAGCCTTGTGAAAGCCTTGTCCAGATGATCTTTACCAATAGACGTAGAAAAACTCTCAAACTTCAGACCAGGTGATTTACTAGGATCAAGAAAGATGGAAGCTGAAGTTTTCAGAACTGTTACTTCATGACCCCTCTGTACAAGTTCATCCAGTATTGTCTTTATATTCATCCAGTGACTGAAATCCATTGGCCATACTAACACTTTCCCACAGCTCCCAGATCTGAAGTAGCAACTCATCTGCAGGAGCAGCAGAACAGACATCCACTTCACAGTCATCTTGGGACATCAAAGTCTTCTGTTCACAGTGTGTCTCCTGTGTCATCGCTTATCCTTATGTCTAAGAAGAAAAAGCCTTGAGTTAAAATATAACTGGAGTTGATCAAGGCAAATGCACTAAATGACCACCCTGAACTTCTGATCTAATGGAGATAGTAAAAGCAAATATTAATTATTCATAGTTGAATGTTAATGTTTAATGACAAATGTTTTGTAATGAAGCATTCAGGAGTCAATGTTGTTTTGGCATAACTGTTCTGTTTCTAAGATATTTGAATAGTAGCAAGAACATTGGTTAGTGAGAGGTTAGTCAGAAATTTTTTCTCAACACAGAACCCAAGATGCATTAACTGCACAGCTTATAAATATTTTATTGATATCATTTTTAAGAATTTTTCATAAGTATATTGATTAACATATTTGCATACACATAATTTCTTACATAGCTTGGGAATGCACCTAACAAACTCTATTGACTGAAGCCCTGGGAAGCAGATAGACAAGAGCCTCCTCCTACACATGACCCTAGGGAAATGGAACACTAGCAATTGGGTTGTTAGACTCACATTTAATAGACTGACTAATCTGTTTGATATTATCTGCTAAAGCAGTAAGTTGCTTCCCTGTCCACTGGTCTTTATTAAGCCCAAGAAGCAGTTGAAAAGGTTGTTATCAGAATCTAGTCCACAAAGGCTCATAACGTTCTTGAGTGCATGCATCTACATTCCTTCCTCTCAAGGAAACACCGTGACCACCATTCCTGAGGTCATCAATGTCTGTAAGATTGCACATGAAGATTCTGGAATCTGACATGTGACTTTAGTTTTAGATGACCTTGGGTCAGAAGAACAACAGAAAACATACTAATTCGAGCTCTTAGATACAAGTAAAAATCTGTAATCAAGTGATGAAAGGGTCAGGGTATTTTTAACATTAAATTTAAATTGAATTATTTACATTGTTTTAAAGCCTCCCAGCACGAGTCATCCAAGTCCAAAGTAGTGTAACTGAGAGAGCTGCATCTTTTGATTTCTTTTAAAGGTGACGCTAGGGTTTACAGGAGAATTAACTGAGTGATGGAAGAATGAGAGATGTGGCACGTGATGCTGCTGCAACAATGAGAAGGGGTTTTCAATTGAATACATAGAGTGCATTGCGGATAGAAGATTTTGAATGTCTAAGAATATCATGCGTTTGTTTTAACTTATCAACTTAAAGAGTTCATATGTTAGTACCATCCATTTCTTTCTTTCTTTTTCCATGACAATCTACCCCAGTGTGACAAATGGAACCAAAGTCACGTTAGGAATCAATAGGGAAAAAATATCATATGAGCTTGCTTATAAGTACATGCATACTCATGCATACACAGGGGTCTATTGGATAGGAAAAGGTTTTAACAAATGTACTGATGTCGTTAGCCTAAGGAATCATAGACTGTTATCAAAATATCCAGTACAGATATGGAATATTTCACTTTCATTTATTGGTTTTGTGGGGGCGGGGTGCCCTGGAATCTTCCCAAAAATATAGATTCTAGTCATTGTCCTTAATTGATTCCCAGATCTTGAAGATAAGATGTCTGAAAGCATTATACACTTCAGACTTAGAACTTGGAGCCATTGAGAAGCAATTGATTTGGAAACTGCCTCTCTCAGGATATTAATAGTATTGGTAGTAGCTGCATAAAATCTCTAGGGAAAATGTAATCAATAGTCCTATTAGCTGTCAGACCTATGACTTATAACAATGGCATGGTAAGATATCCATAAAGGCAAAATTATGACACTTTTATCTTAGGTGTAATGAAGATAAATCTAACTCTAATTGGATTTGAGGCTAGTGAGCGGTAAGAAATTCATGAGTGGTACTGTAAAGTGAGTCAGCTGCCCATGACAGGAGACATCCCAGACCTCAGATGTAGAGTCTCCTACTGCTGTTTTCCAAAGCAAGTATAATTTCTAACTGTATTACTAGCTTTATCCTTATAATCACAGGTAACTGTAGCTCTCACAACTCATCAAAAATGTTTTATTGCAGCAAGTGGAAAATATTGCAGAGATCCACAGCTGGTCAAAAAGAAAGAGAATAATTGATCATTGGATTCCCAAAGCCAGTAAGTACACTTAGAGCAGCACAACTTCTAAATCAAAGGCTATGGAAACATTTTGGAAAAGATATCAGAAAAGCATAAGAGCCAGGGGACCAGGATGCCTGA